CACTCATCTTCTGGGTCAGTGATTTTATTTATTTATATCCCTCTAGTATTATTTTTAGGGATGTGATGGCTCAGTGGCTAAGATGCTGAGCTTGTTAATCAGAAAAGTTGGCAGTTCAGCGGTTTGAATCCCTAGTAACAAATAACAGAGTGAGCTCCCATTACTTGTCTCAGCTTCTGTCAACCTAGCAGTTCGAAAGCATATAAAAATTCCTTTGGTGGGAAGGTAACAGCGTTCTGTAAATACACACATACACAATACTCCAGAGGCCTAGTGTGCCATGAAAAATAGCATGGCATGTCACTGTGATATGTTCATCATTAGCGTTGGAGGTGTATGCAATTTTTGAAAGAATCCGCAAGATTGGATCTGGTCCATTTGTGGACAGCCGGCACTTGAGAGGAATTCAACATAACCTAACCCAAACACCTTGGGTTAAAAAAAAAAAAAAGGAAATCAAATTTAAACATACATGGAAATATTCTCATTTACTATAACTCTTGCTTATCGAACGGTAGGTACGGCTTTATATAAAGCCTGGCAGACTTCACGATTACAGAATAAATCCTGTTGTAGCAGAAAATTTTCTTAGCATAAAACCGGTTTTTTGGAGCAAATGTGTCAACTCTGATATTCTTCCCATGATCCTTAGTGCTTGCCACAAACTCATACAGTACATCATAATGTATAAAGTGATCTTGGAGACATACAAGTCATAAATACTAAATAGCATAATATTAATTGCATCTGCTCCAGAGGTGGGTTGCTACCGGTTCGGGCGAACCGGTAGTGGAAATTACTACTGGTTCGCCGAGCCGATAGGAACAACAGGCTTGCCAGGCCCTCAAACCGGTTCCCTGGTCAGCCATACCATTGTTGGCATGTTTTTCAGTCATTTTATGCGCAGAACAACTTATAGGCAACTGCGCATGTGGAAGGGGGTTGAACTAGAACAGGGTCGGCAAACATAAACACTCGAAGAGCCATTTGGACCCATTTCCCACAGAAAAGAAAACACTGGGAGTCACAAAGGTCCTAACCTGAAGCCCCCTGTTCAATTCTGGAGCTGACCGGAAGTTCAGTTCCCCCACCATAGAGTCTCCTCCTAGAGCGGCATACTTTTTCCTCTACCTGTCATAACCGAAAGCCCTATCAATTGTGGAGACAACTGGAAACCCCGCCCCTTGCCATAGAGTCTTCTTCTGGTGCACTGTGCTTCTCTACCTCCCCCCCACCCCCAGAATCTCCTCTCAAAATTGTGGCACCAACCAGTGACGGAGCTGCAGCAGAGGGAGGAAAGAGCCACATGCGGCTCCAGAGCCACAGTTTATTGACCCCTGCAGCTCTGCAGGCTACTTCTGCAGATCACCAGT